AGGAATTCAAGACCAGCCTGGCAGTACGATGAAACCCTACTTCTACTAAAAATACAAAAATTAACGAGGCGTCTCGGTGCCTGCCTGTAACCCCAGCTACCTTGGAGGCTGAGGCACCAGAATCACTGGGACCTGGAGGCAGAGGTTGCAATGAGCTGAGATCATGCTCCAACCTGGACAACAGAGTGAGAATCTGTCTCAAAAAATTAATAAAATAAAAATAAAAATTTAAAAAGTAAAATAAAATAAAAATTTAAAAAACTTTTTCTTCTTTTTCTTGCTAGTAATATTTCTTATCTAAGTATGTTTTCTTCGATGTAAATATAGTTATACCAGCTCTCTTATGGTTTGTGTGGTAAATATTCCTTGCATATGTCTGTAATTGTCAGGTTCCAAACTAAGCTTGGGCCTGAGGGAAGCTGGTGGGATAGGTGGCGGGTACCTGAAAGAACACTTGAGGGGCAGTAAGCAGTTGGGACATGCCTTTATTCTCCCTTCTCTAACTTCTTAATAATCTCGGTTATCTCTGTATGCCCACCTGGCAAGTGGTATTGACAGGTGGAATAGAATGTTGGAGTTATGGCAGGACCTGGGGCTGGTGATGCATATGTCCACGCAGTACCAGCTTAACCACACATACTCATTGTCTGAATTCTCCAGCTGTGGTTTGTAAAGCCAAACCATGTACAATATCCACCCCTAGAATGTATTCATGTATGGGAGGGACATCCACAGTGCATAAACATGGAGCCATCAGCTGATGCCAAGGTGAAAAGATTCAGGTTTCACTTTCACTGACTGGCCCCTTAGCTGTCTATATATGCAGCCTTGCCCAGAAACTTATCTGGGTTCCCATAGACGAGTCTACAATCTGCACTGGTGTCTACCAGTGCCAGCACCAGCTGTATGTTGGTGGGGGACCAGTGGATTACCAATTCCACATGTGGCCTCCTGGTCACCTGGTGTCCCCCTAAGTCAGGCACCTCAGCCAGTTCCCTAATTACACACAAAAGGTGTTATATCTTCACCCATCTGCAAACAGTCCTTGAGCCGGAGTGTCTGGGTGGGACTGGGTCAAGCAGCATCATCCTTCTCCCTCTTTGGCATGTTCCAGAATTGCTGCTCTGGGGACAATTGCCTCCACAAAGTTAATAGCACTTCACTGGGTTGCCTATCAATTTTCTTTTGGGCAACCCCAGCCAAAGTCAAATCAATCTACATCTGTGTGCAGGTCATTCACTGGGGCCGCATTTTGTTCCAAGAGATGGTCCCCTGTAGAAGGGAAACCCTCCCCTTTTTAATGGCACAGACTCCCTGGTCCCGCCTACAGCCCTCTGCTTCCCTGAGAGCCACCATGGAAGTAGTCACCTCACATACAGAATGAGGACGGTGGCCAGGGAGCCAAAGGCACTCAGGAGCATAGAGCTCAACACAAGGTCCCTTATGTGGGAAGTAAAGCTTCATCATCTGGCCCTCAGATTGAACATAGCCTGCTGCATACACATCTCCCAGATTACTTGCACCAAATCTGGATACAACTGCCATTACTCACGGTTTCTGGTATTTCTCTGGCATTGTTTCATACCATTCAAATGGCCACCATCAGCCATTCAATTATGGTGTAGTCGCCTTGCCCTGTGCTAATAACCATCTGCTCACTGGCAATTACTGATGAGGAGGGATGAGTCGTAATGGAGGTCAACTTTTCCATTTCAGAGACAGAGTGGGTGATACTGTTGGCTTCCTCATCCCAAAGGCAAGGCATCCAGGCAGGTAGAGGTTTCCCCGAGTGCTGCTAACACTGTTTAATTCCCACAGCTCAGTTGGAGTATAGGCACTGTATGACATGTGCTCTGTCATGGTAGGGGCTCCCTGAGCCCAGCCCTGTGGCCTCAATGGCTGTTCCTGCTCTATTTTCTGATGGACTGCTGGGCAAACCCACAACAGATGTTCTTCCTCCTCAGTATCAGACTAAGCAGGGGCCTCTGAGATAGTGGGCCCAAGCCCGCACTAATGGCAGCCTCTAATTCTCATTACAAGCTGTGTATCTGGGCCTCCAGGTGCTCTGCTTGTGCCTGGAGGTCCTCTACCTGTGCTGCATCCCACAGGGACTGAATGTGCACCTCCTGTAGTACAGTGAAAAATGCCCATCCAACTCTGCTGACACAGGCACACTCTTTCTCAGTGCTCTGTGCTTCCAAGTGCTTCAGTGCCTCCTCCATGCTCACAGGGGACCTGTCCACCACCACCCATGTTTCCACTGGGGCCCATCCTAGCAGCATGACTGCCACCAGATACCACAACCCATGCTGGGGCCACATGGCTGACCTGGGATCACTCAGGGAAGGGCTTGCTCACCTTGGGATCCTACTGACTATGCCAGTTGTTAGGTTCCAACCTGAGCTGGGTTCTGAGGGGAGCTGGTGGACAGGTGGTGGGTGGCTGAAAGAATACTGGAGGGATTGTAGGCAGTTGGGACATGGCTTTATTCTCTCTTCTGTCCTACAGAGTCAGCAGCGCAGTTATATTACTCACAGACATACTGGCTCAAAGCCAGGTATGAGCTCACACAAACAGGTTACATGAAATGGCTACATAATGCCTGGGATTGTGCACCTGCACTCCAAACCTGCTGTGTCATACCATACCAGACGTCTGCCTCGACCTACTCCTGACTGAAGCATAGCCATTTTCCTAACAATAATAATTTTTGAAAAATGCATAGTTTTCTCTCACTGATGACATGTGGAGACACTGTAAAGGACAAAGGTGGCAAGTGCAATTTCCTATGGTCAAGTTAGCTACCTCCAGGGAATTCTCCTGGAGGCACAATTAGCGCCTTGGTTTGCCTTTTTCTATTTTCTTGGGTGGAAAGTTGTTCCTCATAATCACCACAGGGGGTCAGTAGAGTCAATTGGGCAGAAATTAGAAAAGGCCAATTATTCTAAAATCTTTCTCCTGCAAAGGGAAGAGAAAACACGTTTCCTACACAGTCTGAGACACCCTATTTAAAGCATTCTACAGACTTTCTTTCTCTCCCTCTTTTTTCTTCTCTTCCCTCTCTCCCTTCCTTTTTTTTTTCTTTTTCTTTCTTTCTTCTCTCTCTCTTTCTTTTCTTTTTCTTTCTTCTTTCTCTTTCTTTCTTTTCTCTTTCTTTCTTCTTTCTCTTTCTTTCTTTCTTTTTCTTTCTTTCTCTTTCCTTCCTTCCTTCTTTCTCTTTCTTTCTTTTCTCTTTCTTTCTTTCTTTTTCTTTCTTTCCTTTCTTTCTCTCTTCCTTCCTTTCTTTTTTCAGGGTCTCACTTTGTCCACCAGGCTAGAGTACAGTGGCAGGATCATGACTCACTAAGCCTCAACCTCCCAGTCTCAGGTGATTTTCCCACCTCAGCCTCCTGAGTAGCTGGGACTACAGGCATGTGTCACCACATCTGGCTAATTTAAAAAAGTTTTTTTTTTGTAGTGATAGGGTTTTGTCATGTTCCCCAGGATCATCCCAAATCCTGGACTCAAGCTATCTGCCCACCTCAGGCTCCCAAAGTGCTGGGGTTACAGGCGTGAGCCACTGTGCCTGACCCAGACTTTCTTAAAGAAATGAAAGATTTGATGAGTATAATCAGATTCCAAATCTCAGTGATGTATTGGTGTTGACATTAATTTTAGACATAAAGTATGGAAGTGAAAGGGGAAGGAAAGTTGGACTATGGAAGTGAAACCAAACGGAAGTAAACAGACAGTAAAACTCAAGTTCACTGAGCATCGTTCATGTGCCAGATATAATGGTAACTGCTTTGTAAATGTTGTCTCAATACAACTTCTATCTTAAGGCAGGCATCGTTCTCATTTGACTTGGGCTGGAGAGGCATTGCTACTTGAAAGAAGAGATATCACAATGACTGACGTGGCATTGAGGTTGAGCCTAGGATAAAAAGTGGCTTTGAGTGCTGCCTAAAGGTCTGGATGCCTTCTCTGATAAACAAGTCAAAGCTGAAGAGATACCCATGGGAACTTTGAAGACCAGAAGTGTGACTGGATAATCAGTAAAACTTCTGGTATCCAGAGTACTGTGGTGGTGGTGAAGGTATGGTGGCAGGGGTGAGGAACAAAGCTGGAGTGTGAGTACAGTAGATGAATACACCAGTTGTGGGTCCTGGGTCACAATCCTCTCGTGTGGCAGAAGGTGGCATCGTGTGATTGTTAGGGGGGAGGTGGATTTTCAAAGAAAGGACTCTCTCTCTCTCTCTCTCTGTCTCACTCTCACTTGCTCTCTCTCCCCACCTGACACATGCACACAAACACATGTGTTTATCCCCTACATTCTTTTAGTCAGAAGAAGGTATGCTTTACTCTGTGTTCAAATAGTTAGTGCCCCGTATACATCCCTAATTTCATTGTCATCTCTGTTTCCCTAATTTGACATAGTGTCTGGTATCCAATAAGTATCAATAAAAGTTGAATGCCCACAATAGGTAAATAAACAAAAGAAATGGTGTGTGGCAGTGTGGGGTAGGGGGGCGGGTGCAAAGGACAGGGAGAGGCCATAATGAAACAGATTTTGAAGATAAAGCTAAAATCAAAGAATCTGACAGTCCAGTTTTAGACTGGAAAAAAACAGCGGAGAAACGGTCTGGTTATCAAAATATCTGATACAGTGAGTATAGTGGTTCAGAGCAGAGAAACATGACCACATCTTTCAAAGAAATGGAGCTCATGTAAAATCGAAATACTTTCCTTTGTGTGTGTGTGTGTGTGTGTGTGTGCGCGTGCACATGCGTGCGTACACTAAGACTTAACATTTATACACAAACAATTGGTCTTTTCTGAAATAAGAAAATAAGAATGAACTGGTTGTTGCTTCATAACAGATAAATATTCCTGGTTAGCTTTTGTCCACTCATTAGTTTTGTTTGACTATTTGATGGGGAGAAAATGGAGTTCAAATTTGGGTTTATGTCTGTCATAATTGACTTATTCTGTATTTAAAGAAAAAAACAAAAAAATAAGAATTAAAATGAAATATGCACTCAAAGGTTTTATTTTGAAGCTAGCTACTTCCATACACCATGAGGCTTCATCATATGGGTCTTGCCTTTATACACTGACGAGTAAAATACATGCGATAAAACACTAGCACCCATGACAAAGGAGTCTAAACACCACAACGAATCAGTTAACTCCTGTTGACAATTCAGGGGTAAAAAAAAAGTTGCATCCTTTGCTTCACTGTGTTTTTGGAATCATCATCCTGCTTAGTTTTCTGGGAAATGTCTATGACTATTTGACTAGTCTAGTAAATGGTAATTTGCAGGCCTGTGCCTTTGCTGGGTCAATGTCAGGCAAATCAAGAGATCTCCAGTGAACACATGCCTTAAATGATAGTGAAATAATGTTTTTTTTTTTTTTTTTAATGTTCATTACTTTAAAAGCTTACATTTAGGAAACTTAAGTTTGCCTTTTGATAATGGTTAGGTTTTCTGTGTTATCAAGAATTCAATAGTTCTTCATATCCAGGGTCATGAGTCATCTTTGAGGATATGCCAGAATTATTGATGTAACTGTGAGGTAGGAAACGCACACTCTGGAAGAGACAAAGTATGTTAGGTCTTCAGACTTCATTCAGGTTCAAGATAGATGTACATATACCATTTTCTCCAACTGTATACATAGAATTCTTAGTTAATCCAAGGTAAGTAGAGCAGATCACTAGGTTCTTCAAATACTGCAATTTGTCACCCTAGTATTCATTCTATTCCTCTAATAAAATTTTGGAGAAACCAAGGCTTTTTAATTCAGTTAAATAAAGCCATGAGTCCATAGGGGTGGTATCCTATGGAATTTGATTCAACAATACATGTTTAATATATCTTTTAAGAGGAAAAAGAATTTTAAGATCACCAGGAGGAAAAGCAGAGCATAAGACATTCACTGGATCTAGTCACATGTGTAAATGCCCTTTACCGAGTCAATACTAATCAAGAGACTAGCGGTTGTGGCAGAAATTGTTTCTGCTTAGGAGGGAGGCAAGCCAGGTTCTAGTGTCCTCAGCACAGGCACGAACTCATAGCATAATGGCAGGCAAGCCAGGCAAGTCATTTGACCTCCCAGAGTCTCATTCCCTCCATTGACAAAATGGGAAGATGTAACCAGTTGATTTCTCATGTTTAACTTTTTTTATATCCAGTGAACTCTCAGCTTGTCAGCTACTCAACTGCCATCTGCTTTCCTTCTCTGCCTTCCATTACCAGGAAAATGACCTTCCATGTGTATTTCATGGCTGGCTGATATTCCTTCTACTACTCCTTTTTTTCATATATATATATATATATATATATATATATATATAATTGCATTTTAGATTCTGGGGTACATGTAAAGAACATGCAGGACTGTTGCATAGGTACATACATGGCGATGTGGTTTGCTGCTTCCATCTCCATCACCTATATCTGGCATTTCTCCTTATGCTATCCCTCCCCAACTCCCTATCCCCCACTGTCCCTTCCCTAGTTCACCCCTCACAGATCTCAGTGTGTGATGCTCCCCTCCCTATGTCCACGTGTTCTCATTCTTCAACACCCGCTTATGAGTGAGAACATGTGTTGTTTGATTTTCTGTTCTTGTGACAGTTTGCTGAGGATGATGGTTTCCAGGTTCATCCATGTCCCTACAAAGGACATAAACTCATCATTTTTTGTGGCTGCATAGTATTCCATGGTGTATATGTGCCATATTTTCCCTGTCCAGTCTATCATCGATGGGCATTTGGGTTGGTTCCAAGTCTTTGCTATTGTAAAAAGTGCTGCAATGAACATACATTTGCATATGTCCTTATAATGGAAAGATTTATAATCCTTTGGATATATACCCAGTAATGGGGTTGCTGGGTCAAATGGATTTTCTATTTCTAGGTCCTTGAGGAATCACCACACTGTCTTCCACAATGGTTGAACCAATTTACACTCCCACCAACAGTGTAAAAGTGTTCCTATTTCTCCACATCCTCTTTAGCATCTGTTGTCTCCAGATTTTTTAATGATTGCCATTCTAGCTGGCATGAGATGGTGTCTCAATGTAGTTTTGATTTGCATTTCTCTAATGACCAGTGATGATGAGCTTTTTTTCATATGTTTGTTGGCCTTTTCTATGTCTTCTTTTGAAAAGTGTCTGTTCATATTCTTTGTCCACTTTTGAATGGGTTTGTTTGTTTTTTTTCTCGTAAATCTTTTTTAGTTCTTTGTAGATTTTGGATATAAGCCCTTTGTCAAACAATCCTTCCACTACTCTTGGTGACATAGCTAGCTCAACGCAGTGTAGAGATAAGATACACCTAGACAAGATTACGTGAGTACAGCCAGCACACTCACCCCAGAGAAGTCAAAGTGAGCCTGTTTCCACCGCAGCACAGAAGTGAGCACAGCTAGGCAGAATTCTAGCACAGTGCAAATCAGCATCAGAGACAGAGTTCCCTGAAAGTCAAGAAATAAAAAAATTGGTGGCATCTGGGTCAGCCGAAGCCTTCATGCCTAGTTGAGAGGTGACCATAGAGATGAAGACCACCTCAACCATTAGAGAATGAAGTAAGGACACCATCAGGAAAACAAAACTGCTCCTCCCACACCTCACAATTGTCTAAATTCAACTCCTTCACTCATTCACTTCCTTGAGAGGAGAAAGGGAGATAAGTAGTAACTAAATCAACTAATCCACTTCATACACTTCTTTCTTACTTCTTTGAGACATCGATAGTTCTGATGACATTGTCCACTCAGTAAGAAAGCCACGTGGTGCCATAACTCCCAGGACTGAGAATCAGCAGCTCTAATTCTAGCCTCACCTTTACTGCTTAGTAGCTGTGTAAGCCTGGACGAGTCTCTCTCTTTCTCTAGCTCCTGTTTCCTTATGTATGAAATACGTAAACTAACATTTCTTTCTCAGAGATTTGTGAGGATCAAGGAGGTTTTGACTGTGCAAGTCCTTCATAAAATTCAGTATTGACATCCCCATCTATGTGTCTATGTGTCTAGGTATCTGAACCCCTTTGGATTTGTTCTTGGTTTTTGTTGTTTTGTTTTTTCTTTTTTCTTTCTTTCTTTCTTTCTTTTTTTTTTTTTTTTGTGGTGGCTGGAAGCCTTAGAAAAAACAATGAAGGTAGTAAACTTTCAGAGTTGCTAATCACCAACACCAACTCAAAAGGATAGGTTCTATCATTTCCATCCTGAGACATTCTTTGTGCAGAACTGGCCATCTGATAATAAAAGGAAATAATTTGACCACATGAACTTTTGTTTTGTGGCATTTTCACATAGTTAAAGAGAAGATACAACTTGTTTCCATTCCTTAGAAATAGTTCCAGCGAGCAAGATCAACAGAATCTCTCTTATTTCCAATGTAAAATTGTCTCATTGTGAATTTATACTTTATCACTCCCAAATTTCTCCGAAATTTGTCTTCAGAATTTTTCCCAAGGAGAAATTGGCTGTGCCAGGTGTTAATTTGTACTAATTACTGTCAGCCTCATTTACTTGTACTTTTTCTCATTATACCATTACCTTGAGAGCAAGGTCCACTTTATAATGAGTGCTGTACCAGCATGACTGTGACCAGACCTTTCTATCCATCCATCTTCTTGCTGAGTTCTTGTCTTATCTCATTTGTATGATTACAGGACAATAAATATTCTGCAACTGCTTTACTCTTATGTTGCCTGTTTTCCTCACAATGTGTTGCTGACCATGCACATGCTCCTTAATTTTTCAACTTCTGACATACTATTTCTATTAGCCAAATTTCCTTATTTTTCTTCTTCCAAAGAGATTGAATTCTCCTGCAATCGTTCAGTTACACTCTCTGTCTCCCTCTATTTCTTATCTCTTTATTTAATATATCATACTTCTTTCAGCTAAAACGAAAAGCAACAATAATGTCGCATTCTCACCTGATCAGTATTATTTGTTATTGTGATCATTAGGAGAAGCCCTTACCTTCTAACCCCATATTTCCTATTCTCTTTTTCTTAGTATTGAATCTGGTGTCTTCTCAAACCAAATAAACTCCTTACCACACACACATACTAGGTTTCCTTGTTGGCATATTCTGATCATCTAGGTCTTTCTGCTCTGTTTCCATTCTTAATACACCATTCCATGTACCAAGATTCTCAATTTGACAAACTCATATTTTAACTTTCCAAAATTGGATTAGTTTGATAATTAAGAAACTCTACAAACAATAAGTTAAAAGTTTTTCATCATCAACCTTATTTAACATTTTCAATTTTACTCTATTAGTATGTAATCCCCTTAATCTCATCCATGTAGTCCCCTTAGATTAATATAACCTTGGCCTTCCCCCTATATGCCCAAACCAGAACAACAGAGAGATTTTCAAAAGAAGGAATAACAAGAAATCAAGGCTTTTGACTACCTCATGAAATTAGAACGTCCCATCTAAAAATACTTACAGTCAGACTGGCTTTAGCTGTATAGCAGTAGGAGGTATCAAGTGGATCATAATGGTAATAATAACTGCTGGTTGGCATATTATTTTTGTCCAACTCACACTGCAATAAGGCAGGATTTAAGGCAGCCAGGTTGACAGACAGGAGAATGAAACCCATGAGAGCAGACAGAGCGCTCAGAATGCTTCCAGCCTGGCTGCCGTGTACCTGAAAGAGAAATGCTAATGAGCCAGAATCTCTCTTATACATCTTTGCCATTAAGTTGTTAAGTTATTCCCTTATGTGTCTCCTCAGGAGGTCTGGGGTTGATCATTTGTTGCTATATGCCTCTCCAGTGCCCAGCAAAAATCTCGGATTCTCCGAGGTAAATCTTGGCTGAATGAATGAATATATGAACTAGTTCCCCTTAAGTGGGACCTCAGTGATGCGGTAGAGAATGTTACTCTTTTAAATTCTTTCTCTGGGACAGATAGTAGGGTCTGCATGAGGCTTTGTTTGCAACATTACCAGGAGAGCATGACCCAAAGCAAAGGTGGCAATGTACCAGGTGCAGTTTTTCTCTTACTCAACTCAGAAACCCTTGGTGGAAGCATCAGCCACACAGAAAAAGTAGATAATTTATTATCATGGTGCAAAAGTAATTGTGGTTTTGCCATATGTGAAAAATCACAATTATGTTTGCATCAACCTAATAGTTCACGCTTGCATGCCCATTTCCTCTCTCAAAAGCACACCTCTCAAACATGAGTGAGAGGGTGGTTCTAAGTCTCAGGCAGGCCCTGTAACCTGGGTGGGCATATGATTGGCCACATAGAAGGCAGCATGGGATGGCTGTAGACAGAGGACTAGGTGCAGGCCCAAGGATGGTATAACGTGTGGAAGGCAGCAGAAGTAGAAAAAAAAGGTCTGGACTGCAGGTCAGAATATTGAGGTCACAGTACTAGGCCTGTCTCAGCTTATTCCCTTGGATACTCAGTTCCTTGGTTTTATTTCTCACTCTGGTTCTCACTTCTACATTGATGAAGTGAAGGGAATAAATAAACATCTCAGAAGTGACTTCCTTTCTACTAAAACTCACACAGAAAAGAGAATTGAGCTAAGAGCATTCTGAAAGCTACAGTTATAGGTAGGCAGCCTCCAGGGCACACCCCACAGCTGTACAGTAGAGTGCTAGTTAATCCCACATGGGCACTTCTTCTTTTAGGAACTCACCAGTTGATGCTTTGGGACCCTGATTTCCCAACATAATGACTAAAGCGTATACTCCTGGGGCTCCTAGTAGCCAGTGGTAGTCCTGATACCCAGAGTATATATTTCTTAGAATAAGCTAGATTCGCCTTGAGACGGCACTCTTCTGCAATCTCAGAAAGGGCTGGTACAATGTGTGACAAGAGGGGAACTCACTAAAGCCTGGATGTCTCTGGTGAGTCTGAGCCCACCCTGAGACCATATCCTGCATCCTTGAGCTTCCTGCCCATTCACTGTGGGATTGTTCTCTGGGGTAAGAGGCCAAGATAGTTCCTCCTAGAAGTTTGGAAACAATACCCTTGTGCCAGGCTATACTCAGTATTGTTGCCAATAGTCACACTGACTATTTATATTTAAAGTAAAATTAAGTGAAATTTTTATTCAGTTGCACTATCTAGATTTCACACCATTGATAGCCACATGTGATGGCAATATTGTACGTACAACTGTGGTGCATTTTCATCATTATAGAAAGTTACATTTCATTTCCATCATCATAGAAACTTACATTGAACAGCACAGATCTAGTTAGTCGTGTGGAGTCTAACTGAGGGTTCCAAATAATGATATCTAAATACTGATGAGAAAAAGAAAGAATTGGCATTTTTTTTTTCTGAGCACTCTCTCTCACTTCCTTGCTTCCTTTGGGAGATTATTATAGTCAGAGACTTCAAATTGAGTTTCTGTGCAATTGCATTATATGACATCCTCTCACATAATCGCCAATATCAACCCCTTGAGGGATAACAGATTGATTGAAGACTTAATGAAACTTTAAAGACAAGAAATGCTCCCCATAATCCAGCCTTTCTCTCTCTGCCACTTCCAACTCTAGTTTTTGCTGGAATAAGGGATTAAAAACAGGTAAAGTTGACTAAGGACAACTTTTTAGGGTGCTAGAATTTATACACAAACAAAATAACACTTCTGGTGAGATACATGAAAGAATACACTCAGCCAGCACTACCCAAAATTATTGAAGTCCTCAAGGAAAAGGAAAATCTGAGAAAGTCTAGAGGAGCCTGACGAGACCTCAGGACTAAATGTAATGTAGCGTAATGTAGCAGCCTCTGTGTACACCTCTGTGTATTATGTAGTAGCCTACTTTGGATACTTCACAGGAACAACACTTCAACTCATTTTTTTTAAAGGTTGTAACACCTGGGCTTAAACAGTGAAACCCAACAAATAGACCTCTTTATAACATTGTCAGCTTCCTTGCCATTGAAAACCTGAATTTGAAGGCCAATTATCACAAAAGGACATCATAAACAAGCACAATTTTTCTGTGACACATTCTTCGGCATGGGCAGAGGGAATATTGTAATTCTCTGAATGCAGACTTTGATGTACAATAATTGGAGAAATGTGCTCTCAACAAGGATACAGAGGATCCAGGCCCAGCTCCTAATTCCAACAACAAACTGCTCTGCAACTGAGTTTTCAGCTTTTGAAAGTAGAAAGACTGGCCTTAATGAGTCCTGTCTAAGTTTTATTTTGATCCATTCGATTGTGAGTTATAGTTCTCAAACTCACCAAAGACATGGTTAACCGTTTCTCTGTGGTGATTGATAGAGAGCCAGCGATGATAAACTAAGATAAAAGAGAAAATAATCAGGTCAGTTTTTACGTGCAGAGTAACTGTGATGTCACTATCACAATGTTCATAGAAAACTGTCGTGAGAAAGACTATCATGAATCAATAAGGTAAGAATCATTTAAAGACATAGATTTGTCTCTTTTTCCCATATAACATTCAGATAGTATCAGAAAAAAAAGATAGCAGAAATATATCCAATAAACAAAACGAAGACCTTAAAAGCCAGGAAATAATTTTGTTTTCTTAATAAAAATGAGGCAATTTTGGTGTAAGATGTTCTCTAGAAAAGAACATAAAAGCAATAGTATTAAAAGAGAAAAGAATTGGGGGAATCATGTGGGTATTGTCCTTCATTATATTGATGCGATATATCACATTTATTGATTTATATAGGTGTTGAGAAACATTAAGTTTACCCTCTCCCTTGTGGAGAATACCTTTTAGTTTGCAATTAGTGGGAGGTGGGTAACAGCTGCCTACTTGGTATATTTTTGAGTTATGAGTAAATTCAGAACACCTGTTTATTAATAAGAATCACCTGTTCAAGAGAGAATAAATACATGGATGAGGATCTGCTCAGGGCCTTCAGCCTGGAATGCTGAGGCTTTCAGCTTGAGAGGCTGCTGGCCCCCCCGGTAGATCCACTGTGTTGTTCTATGTGGGTGTCTGCCTCTCATTACCTTAAATGCCACCTGGGTGGGGTCTCCCAACTAAGCTGGTACTTGGCATGTAGGTTGAACCATTCTTGCACCCCTGGAATAAATATCACTTTATCATGGTGAATGATCCTTCTAATATGCGGTTGAATTCAGTTTGCTGGTATTTTGTTGAATATTTTTGCATCAATGTTCATTAGGGATATTGACCTATAGTTTTCTTGTAATGTTCTTGTCTGGCTTTGGTATTAGGGTAATGCTGGCCTTTATAAAGTGAGTTTGAAAGTATTCCTTCCTCTTCAATTTTTTGGAAGAGATAGAGAAGTGTTGCCATTAGGTTCTTTAAAAAGAAAGTAAAAGATGGGAGAAGTTAACAGATATGGGAGGTCAGAGACATGAATCTTACATTGCTGGCACCCTAGCTTAAGGTAAAATGGTCAATGAGAAGAGATGGAAAGACAAGAATGAATGGCAGAAATCCTTCAAGGCTGTGTTTAAAAAATCAGACATTGTTTTCATCCTTTAAAGTATTCGTGACCTAATGAATTTAGAGCCATTAAGAAACAGACAATTCTTTGACAGTTAAAAAAAAAGGAGGGGCAAAATCCAAAGAAAAGTTATGATTTCTGTGACCCAGGCAGTTAGTTATGTGTCTTTATAAACAAATGGCAAGTCTTTAAAAAAAAATGGACTAGATGCCTCTCCAGTGGTGGACTGTGCTTAGTGACTTGTTTTGAAAGAGTATAGAAAGAGGAGAAAAAACAGTAGTAATTTTACAGAGGAGAAACCTGGAAATACTACCCTAACCACATGATTAAGGTTAATTGTGGCAGTGACATTATATTGGTAGCATGACCCTTGCTACGACTTGACGAAATGGTGCTTTACCTAGTTCAAACATCAAAAAAATCAAACAAACCCAAATGTATAGGAACATTCTATACAAATCTCAGCCAGCACTACCCAAAACTATCAAAGTCCTCAAGGAAAAGGAAAATCTGAGAAAGCCTAGAGGAGCCCGAGAAATCATCATGATGAAATATAACATAGTGTAATGTAGTAGCCTTGCATGGATGTTGGAACCGAAAAAGGTCATTTGGGGAAAGCTGGTGAAATCCAAATCCAAATGTAAGTTTAGTTAATAAGAGAAGAAAAATAGACAAGACACACAAAAAGGTGGACTTCTTGGTGCATCAAATAAGCAAATGTAAGAAAAACAAATAGCTACTGAACTGAAGGAAAAAACATCTATGAAAGAGAAGCTTAATTATGAGAAAGCATCAATCCAAGAGGAAGCAGTTCTCTGAGAAAAGGACTATTAAGTCCTTTTGAAACCCCAGACCTGCAGCTATTTCAGAGGAATTTCCAGGCCATCACTGAGGTGTAGATATCTACTCAGCCTTCCCTGGGAGTCAGTCAGTGCAGTAAAAGTATTTTCAAAATGCTCAGCAATGTAAGTTCTCCTTCCTCCATGATCCCCATAAGCATGGGGGGATCACAGTGTGGTTTCTCTGTGAGTGTATGATGTCTTCCATTGACACTCTTTTTTTTTTTTTTTTTTTTTTTTTTTTTATAAAACATTCTTTCCCAACTTAATCCTAATTCATGGATTTTTTCCCCCTAAATCTGGAGAGAAGTCACTAGCTTCATCATAGCTCAAGATGATAAGATGAAAAATAAGATGATTTTCAAGAGAAATGCTTATTTGAGTCTGACAAGAAATTGATCTGAAATCAGACAACTCCTGTCATTCTACCCTACTCAATCCTCCCAGAACTACACACACAGGAGAACAAGTTTCACCATTGACTCCTTGGTTCTGGCAGATCAAACCCAGCAATATGGCAGGTGGAAAGTCTAAGCTATTAGCATCTTCCTCCCATCTTCGCTCCATCCTGCCCTCCTCAGAAACTCTACTCACACACAAGGGTCCTATGAATGGGTAAGCGGACTTCAGCAGCGTAGAAATCACTTGATTAAAATTTGGAGTGAAAGAGGCAGATGCCAAAATAATCCCCAAGCTCAACACCTTTATGCCACACAAGATCTGGATAGTCTGTGGGAAGAGAAAGGGAAATTGAGGATTAAAGCCAGCATTTGTAAAGACTGAGCCTTTTTGCCTCTCCCACAGTGCTAATATATTATCACTTTCTGCAAGATCCCAAGGATACAAACCCTGTGGAAACTCTGGAGTGAGAAATATAAAAAGACATCCTGGAGGGTGTGCTGCTCTGCCACAGAAGCCACAGTCTCGGGTGTCTAGCAGGTGCTCAGCAAGGTTTCTGGCATTTCTGCCTCTCAGGCCCTGGTCTGCTCATGACCCCTGCTTCTAGCTCACAGCAGCTGCTGGGATCTTCTTTCCCAGCTCTCAGGACCTCTGAGTCCATGACTAGTGGATTGTCTTTCTACCTTTCTGGAAACAGGGGTGCCTGAAAGCCCCACATTCTCTGCAGTATTGGCAGTGCAGAAGTCCCTCCCCTCATCCCCCAGACTTCACTGGACATGGAGCTTGGCCCTCTCTGGTCACCTTCTTGGAAACTGCAGTCCACAACCCTGTAACTGAAGTTCTGGAAGCTCTTTTTTTTTTTTTTTTAAACTTTTAAGTTCAAGGGTACAAGTGCAGATCTTTATATAGGTAAACTTGCATCATGAGGGTTTGTTGTACAGATTATTTAATCACCCAGGTATTAAGCCTAGTACCCATTAGTTGCTTTTCCTGATCCTCTCCCTCCTCCCACCCTCCACCCTCCGAAAGGCCCCAGTGTGCATTGTTCCCTTCTATGTGTCCATGTGTTCTCATCATTTAGAGGCCATCACCCTTAGCAAACTAACACAGGAACAGAAACCAAATACTGCATGGTCTCATGTATAACTGAAGCTCTGTCTTAGGAGGCAGTTTCCTTCCTGGCATTCACCTCAGAGATTACAGCTCTATTATCATTTACCAAGAAGTTTTCTAGACCTTATGTAACATGAGCCTCATAGAAACCCACAATTGTACATGAGGCAAAGAAACCAGTCCCACCAGGTCCTGAAACCCAGTCAGACAGAGGGCCCCACCTCAGATCATATAAGTGCAGAGGCAATTCTAGAAACCAAAACTCTGTATTTCCCTCCCAGTCCAATACATATCCCTTCTTTCTCTCCTTCCTTCATGCAATACAGCTTCTTTCATAAATTCTGGATGAGAGGAAAGACAGACAAACCAAAGGTGAATATCATTTCCGTTCTCAAAAAGGTAAGGAGAAAAGAGGAAAATGAGGTGTATTTTTTCTGTAATTTGCAGTGAGGGGAAAATTCTTTGCAAAAATCAGTGTTAATTATTAAGCACACAATTGTGAAATACATATATATATATGTATATATATTATATAATTACATATTATAGATATGTATATATTTATGTGTATATATACACACATTTATATAAAATACGTAATTATTTACCACCACTACTTTTGTAAAAGAAAATTAGAGAAGTACTGTGTTGTAAAAACACAAAAACAACAACAGAAAATCAATTCCCATATTCAGAATAAGGGAAAAAAACATTTTAAGACAACCTCTTATGGAAAAGTTCTGCAATCGTTTTCTCCAAGTGGTTTCTACCCTGGACTCGCTCTGGCAAAAATGAAGGGTCTAAGAGTCTCTACACTCACAACAGCTACCCAGTCCCAAGATACACATCATCCCTTGGAACTTCCCCCAACCCACCTCCAACACGTCCTGAATTAAATTTACCCCAATAACTTTGACTTCTGCCTGTAGATATTTTTTCAGGCTATCCTGCCCCTGGTTGGTGGCTGCAGGTTTCTCTGCTTGGGAGAAGTTGATGACATTTGATGGGAGCACTATGATGGTCTTATTGGGAACAGGTTGTGATGTCATGATGGTGCTGCCAACTATGGAAGAAAAAATAGATTTAGCTCTTAAAAAGTACAGAGCTCCCTGGTTCTGGCTCCAAAAACTGTAAGTCAGTCTACCATTTAGTCCAGGCTTAGCCTGTCCATTAGAGAAAGAAACTGATAGTATAGAACAGTGAAAACCACACAACCTTGGTTTCATGAGGATTTTTCCATCATGTTTGACACAGTCCATTACAGATAATAAACACATCACAGGGTGGCAGCAACATCAATTTTGAGAGGCCCAATGTCCAGAATCAAATGGTCACACAAAATTTGCAAAATGCAACAATCTCCCTTTCCCCAGTCCTACTGACAATGACTGTATTGCCATATATTTGATGAATTTTGAGACTAATAAATGAACTCTGCTTATTTATTTTTTGTCTAATCATACTATTTATTAGCATTCATCTTAGATATGTTTATCATATTTTACTAGACATGTTTTTAGTTTATCCTGGAGTTCTTTCAATCCTTACAACAGCTTTGCATCTAAGTTAGTAAAAACATGTAATAAATAAGAAAATTCAAAGAAAGTTTAAGCTATGAACACAAATAGTATACATGTTGTATAAATGCATGGCCTAAAATTAATGATGAAGAAATATTTGCAGTTACCCTTATTGTTCAACCCTGTTCACACAGCTGGGAAGCTCTAAAGCCAGTCTTGGATCCCAGCTTTCCTTGAGTGTGAAGCCTCTGCGTAAATCTCTACATCATTCTACCTCTTCCTGCTTTTACACCTGGCAATGCCAGCCTGTTTACTCAGGCTGAAAAAGCAGCTGCATGCAGTGGTATGAAAACAAGTCTTGGAGTCATCTCACATAGGTTCGTGTCCTTGATCCTCCCCACTTTTTAGCATAAAGACCAATAGGCTGTGATATTTGTTGCTGAGCTCACTTGGATCCCTTTTCACGGCACCATTCTCAGCCCACAGATTGCCTGGTTTACAAATGGTCCAAAAACATTTGAAGAGACCAGAGCTCTTCTCCTGTTAATTACACAACCTTAGGTAAGTGACTCACTGAGTTCATGCAATAAGAATACAGCAGAAACAGAGTTAAAAACAGATGCTCCTTCCATTTGCCCACTCTATTTTCAAAATGCTCTAGTGTCTCTTAACTGCTGTCAAGGAGTTTCAAGTCAAGTTACTCCTCTAATGAGGTCACAGCAAGGAAATGGTGAGATGAGAAAAGTCTTTCAGCATTACTTACCTGTGCCCCTTGGTTCCAGCTGAGTCTTCAGAAGCTCCCAAGAGGTTTAACTCTGGGTTCTCAGACCATCCCACCAATGCTTTCTACATACCTTCGTCTTCCGAAAGTCATCCACCCTTCCTTATTCCAGTGTTTGCAGCTATACAGGATGTGATACTTACAGATTGTAGATTTGTGAAATGTGCCTGCACTTCCTTTCTGTAAACTTCTAGCAACTTCACAAAAATCATTAAAAGAAACAACTTATGACTGGGAGAATTCATGAATCACAGAGATTTATGTGTGAACTGCCACTTAGAGATGTACAAGTTACCTGTTATTAGGCCAGTCTGGTCTTAGAGCCTCATTTTTCTAATCTGTTAAATAGAGGAGCAATACCAACGCTGGAGAATTGTCACAAAGATGAGCAAAAATATTTATAAAAAGCCTATGCTGCTTTGAGGCATTCAATAATATGTAACTAATAATAGCAATATTGCTAGTAATCATAATAAACACAAACAACAATATTCCATTGTATACAACTAACCATAATAATAATAACAGCAATAATGATTATATTTTTAAGGAACATTCAATAATATATAACTAATAATGATAATATAGAACATAAAAAATCTTTAAAAAATTTATATATATGCATATCTGTGTAGTTTGTTTGTTTTTTTCTAATTCCTCAAGCTCTTGGCAAGCTGAAAGCAGCCTTTCAACCCTCCTTCCCAACTGCTGCCCACCCTAAAGTCACCCTCCTCCTCTGGCTACTCTTTCTCTAACAACAGATCTTTGCCCCCCGGAAAGGCTGGGCCCTTCTAGGGATGTTTTGAAACAGAGAAGAACAAATGGGAACGACTCAGCAGGACCTAAATGAATTCAGCAAACTCATATGTGGGCTGGTTTTGCGAGGACAGAGCCACTGTGCCCCTTCAAACCGTTCGGTGGCGTTCTTTGGAAGCTGACTTTAATGTATCAGGCAAGGAAACCAGAGCCAGACAGAACAATGGCAAAGCCCCACCCTGCAAGGCTCCCTTCCCCTTTTTTTTTGGCGGGGTCAGGGAGCTGGCAGAATGAACCCAGAAACACAACCTGAACCCCATCACTGTCACTTCAGAGGGCCATGGGTTCTGAACTTAATTCCACACATAACTCTTCTGTTGAAGAAAGGAGTTACCAAGCACCATTTAGAAGGCTGGATTAGTTCCCAGGGTCTGAATGACCCAGACATTACAAAATATAATTGGCTTATCTTAATTTCTAACAATAAATCTGAGAGGGGGAGTGAATTTACCCAGAAAGCCTGGGGAGATGGGCAGAATCACTTCCAACCTCGCTCATCTGAGCTCCTGGTGCCCCTTCCTCCTTTGCGGAGTGCCAGCTGTGTTTCCTATGGGTGCTCTGCATCTCTGTCACTGTCACAGCACTTATGAAATAGTGGAGTGCAGCTCTCCTCCTGAGCTTTGATTAAGAAGGAGCCCAGCCTCTTCAGGAGCGATCACACCCCATTTCCCTTCAGAGGAATGTGTTAATAAACCAGTTAGAGTTATCTATCCAAGCAAAGACTCCCTCTCCACTCTGTTTTCCTCTCTGTGTTATTTAATTTAAAATGATTTCTGAGTTTTAAGGATTATGTGAGACAACACATGTAAGGTGCTTAGCTCAGAACCCTACAGAATTATGGCCTAAAAGTGGTCTGTTGACTGTCTTCCTCTCCCAGCCTCCTCCTTTTTTTCTGTTTTGGCTTCAGTAAGCTCCTAACAAAACTCCTCTCTTGTCTTTCAGCTTACATTCATTCAGCCTTTTACATTCTCAGTTTTTTCCAGAGTCTGAACTCTACCAACCTAACTAGAAGGGAAAACACTGATATGTCGATAACACATTCTGATTAATAATCTAGGACATGTTACTCAAATAAGCTGCAATGCCCTTTCGGACTGGGTAATTGTTTGTGGTAGGCGGTTATCCTGGGCACTGTAGGATGCTCAGCCGACTCCCTGGCCTATGCCAGCACAACCCCACCCTGTGTGTAACAACCAGAAACATCATCAGATATTGTCAAATGTCTCTTGATGGCGGGAGAACAAAATCCCCTCACATCCATGTTGAGAACCACTGACCTAGGAGCAAAAGGCTTTTTGTGTGTTCTGTGTAAAGGCAGGTGTGTGAGAAACAAAACAGTATTTTCTTTAAATCAATTTCTAAACTTTTGTTAAAATTTTAAATTGTGATATAAAACACATATAATTCATTATCTTAGCCACTTTTTAGTGTACAGATCACTAGTATTCATTATGTTCACATTGTGAACATAATGAACAGACCTCTAGAACTTTCTCATCTTGCAAAACTGAAACTCTATACGCCTTGAACAACTACCCCTCTGCTTCCTGCTCCTAGTCCCTGGGAACCACCGTCCTACTTTCGGTTCCCTATTCGCTCTGTGTCTACTTTGGATTCCTCATATGAGAGGAATCATAGAGTATTTGTCTTTTTGTGATGGCTTATTTTACTAGCATGAAATCTCCAAGTTTCATCCGTCTTGTAGTACATGATAGGATTTCCTTCTTTTGTAAGGCTGATGAATGTTTCATTGTAGATCTATACTACATTTTCTTTATTTATCCATTGATGGACATTTGGGTTGCTTCCACCTCTGGCTATTATGAATAATGCCACAATAAATATGAGTGTACAAATATCTTTACAAGATCATGCAACTCATAGATATTTCTTTCTTTTCCTTCCTTCCTTCCTTCTTTCTTTCTTTTTTTTTTTTTTCAGACGGAGTCTTGCTCTGTCGCCCAGGCTGGAGTGCAGTGGCACAATCTAAGTTCACTGCAACCTCTGCCTCCTGGATTCAAGCAATTCTGCCTCAGCCTCCCAAGTAGTTGGGATTACAGGCGCCTGCCACCACACCCAGCTAATTTTTGTATTTTTAGTAGAGATGGGGTTTCACTATGTTGGCCAGGCTGGTCTTGAACTCCTGACCTGATGATCTGCTTGCCTCCGTCCCCTAAAGTGCTGGGATTACAGGTGTGAGCCACAGCGCCTAGCCAATATTTTAATACTTTAAAGTTAGTTTCTGGAGATTTATTGTGTTCCTTTTGTTGGGCCATGTTTTCTTGCTTCTCTGCATGTCTTGTGCTCTTTCATTGTGAATTGGGTATTTGAAAAAAAATCACCGACCTTCTCCAGTCATTACAAACTGACCTCATGTAGTAGAAGACCTTTACTGATTAGCATAGCTAGAGATTCTAGAGGGCCCTTCAAACTTTTTCTGGGTGTGTGTGTGTAATTTTCTAGTAAAAGAATTTTGCCTGCTTCTTCCTCTTTCTTCCCCTGGTGTCTGCCTGCAATACTGCAATCTCCCTAGTGCTGAAACAGGGTGTTTGCCTTTGCTCTCAGAGGCTCACAACATGGCATTCAACTCTGCACTCCACAAGACAGAAACCAGTGTCTTGGACAACCCCCCTGCCTCACCCCCTACAACCCAAAAAACCCCCAGAATCCTGAACTCACGGTCTACTCCTCTTGCTTCTCTAAAGGAGAATCTGGGACTTTAATGTTTTCTGTAGATCAAGTCGCCTTGTGCCAGGGTGAGACAGTGGCTGGGATGAGTAAACTGCAACAACATTTTCTGCTCATTTTGACGCATCTTTTCCCGGCTTTGCACTCACCTGAGGTGCTGCAACTTCCTAACTAGTTTCTGGAGTTCTCACAAAGGCAATGTAGTTCATTCATTGTTGTCAAGTCAGTCTCTCTATGGGGAAATGAAGGCCTAAGGCTCCTATTCCACTACTTGCTGATGGCACTCAAGTTAATTTCCTATTACTAGGTCCTATCGTGCTGAAAGGTCATCTAGTTATCCCAAGTTCCCATGGCAGAGCTCAAAAACAGATGTTCATGTTTGACAACAAGGGCATTGTAGAGAAATTCTGGTGTTCTTCTAAGTATACATACAACTCTCTGTGCACATTCTCCACAAACTACCTCTTGTTCCTGCAGGTCTGTGGGCAAGTCTGTCTCTCTGGCCTTTCTAGTTCCAAGGATCTCTCCTTACAGAATAAGAAGGCCTTAACTCTTTGGACCCAAAACAATTATTTGGGCTTTTGTTTCCTAGCTAGCTCCGTTTCCTAGGTCCCATCTGCATCTCAGTTTTCATTTCCCACTCTCCAACTCTCTCCTTCAAGACCAGGGGCATCTTCTATTTCCTAAGGACATCTGTGCTTCTCTTAATTATCATGTTATCTCCCCCATTCCATGACACCTCTCATACCCCATACACTAGGAACTCTTCTGATACATCTTTCTGAAGCACTTACCATAAAATCTGTAGTGAGATGTTATTCTTTGGATTGCTAGAAAACAAAAACTAGAAGTGAGTAAATAACATCTCCTTTTCCCTTCTCCCTTAGTATATTCCTCTATCTCCTTCACTTATCTCTCCCTTTGCATATATTATCTTAAGAAAAGAACTAAGAAAGTCCTAAATGGTTGGAATTGAGAAGAAAAAATTTTGTGCTTGTAAGAATTTTAATTTTCCTTGTAATCTCCAGTGAATAAATTAGTATTGGGCAACAGGAGTCTTCAGCTGAAAACACAGCTTGGCAACTATTTCACCATTTAAGGGATTCGGAGAAGGAAGGACTAATATCAGCATAAGCTACTTCATGAAAGTGACTGTAACTTCTCATACATACACGAGAAGTTTCTTCCTATAATGGAGGAAAAGAAGGATGTATGAAAGAAAGAAAGGAGGAAATGCTGTCCTCAGACTGACAATTAAGTAGAAGTGAAGTGTGCAGGTTCTTTGTGAGGAGGAGGAAACAACAGCTAGAAAGAGTCCTCTGGCTCTGATTGATCTCTGCAGGCATGTCCATGTTTCTAACAAGATAAAACCTTATTTGTTATATGAAGAATAGACTCAGATCCATTCCTTTCTATTTGTGTCTCATACATTATTTGGTATATTTAATAGTTTATATCTGAAAGTGTCTTGAAACATCTCTGTCCAAATTGTTATTTTGGGTCAACTAATAAAGAGATTGCAGGTTTGTGGTTTTGACAAGGTTTATGGTGCTCTGAATAGGTTAATACCTACACTTAGCACCTCAGCTACATGGGGAAACACTGAGTTACCTAGGCTATATAGATGGCTCAAATTATGCCATGAACTGACATAAGATCAAGGCTAACTTCCTCATGAATAATGAACAATGACACATAATTAGGATCAATTTATCTAAGAGTT